GATAGAGCACTGGCCCTGGATTCAGGAGGACCTGAGTTCAAATGTGACACAATTATTAGCTGTGTGACCCTGGGCAAGTCACTTAACCCCGTATCAAAAAAAAAAAAAAAGGCTTGAAAAGCAATTGCTGTGCCTGCGCATCGGGCAGACCTGCAGCACAAGTTGTACCTTTCCCCTTGGGAATGGACAAAAATGAGGAGGAATTTAAGTGCGTAGTTTGGTTGTTCCAAAACAGCACACAGAGAGATAATTGCTTGGTCTCGGTTGTTTCCTGAAACAAAGAAAGGGAATACCAAAGGAATTCCCATTACTTCTTTACTAAAATCTGGTAATTACTCTGCCTGCCTCTCAAGGGAGTTGGAGGACTACCAGATCCATGGCAATGTATCATGTGCCAAGACCTGGAATGTCACTGGGGACAGGACTGGCAATGTCCCTCAAATGACAGTTCCCCCAGCGGACCTTTGGTGGTTCTGTGGAGGGAGAACCCTCAGACCAACATTACCCGGGAAACGGATGGTGCGTTGGTACAGTTGGCTATACCATTTATGCTGTCATTCATAAAGTCATCCCCAGGGTCCGTCCTCCTCAGGAACCCACTCTAGGGGAAAGAGCGAGGTTGGGACTCCGAAGGGATCATTTGATGAAAGAATTTATCTAGACAGTATAGGAGTTCCTGAGGCGTACCTGATGAATTCAAGGCCAGAAATCAAGTGGCATCTGGGTTTGAGTCCTTTCTGTTAACAAGAATGTAGACTGGATAAATTACATCTATTATAACCAGCAAAGGTTTGTAAATTACACCAGGGATGCAATAAAAGGAATTGCAGGACAATTGGATGCCACCAGCCGGATGGCCTGGGAGAATACAATGGCTCTGGATGTGATCCTGGCAGAAAAAGGGGGAGCTTGTAGGATGTTAGGAAGAACCTGTTGTCCCTTCATTCCCAGTAACACGGCTCCTGACGGGACTCCGGGCCCTACAGGAGCTGACTGCAGCATGCGAGGAGTTAGCCCAGAACTCTGGAACCCATAACCCCATCACTGGATGGCTGGAATCATGGTTTGGAAAACGGAAGGGAAGAGCAGCATCCATCATCATTTCTCTAATCGTAGCTGTGGGAGTTTTAACTGCACTAGGTGTTGCATCATCCTTTGTATCAGAGGACTAGTGCAAAAATTAATAGAAACAGCGCTAACTAAAAATACACCAGTCGGGCCGGCTATGGGAATTCAGGTAACGGGATCAGGTGGAGTTAGGATGATGATTGAGAGAATTAATGGTCATTCCTTCCCCTCTGATGAAGAATTCGAACTGATGCTAAAATGCTTTGAGGAAAGACAACAGGAACAAAAAGTGTGGAAACATAATCCTTTTTGAGAGAAGAGGAGGGAATTGTGAGAGTTAGGCAAGGGTTAAGTTTCCACAAAGGTAGAATAGTGCAGAGTTATAAAAACAACTCAAAGAAGCAGTTACACTGCAGGTGGCCTTAGCCAATAAGAAGTAAGCTGATGGTTCCAAGAAGACCCCAAAATCAAGATAAGTGCCCATCTAGCTCGGACCTGTTGGGGTCAGCCCGAGGACACCAGAAAAATATTATTTCACATGCTTAATGAACTTCATTACTATTAACTGACACACCCCACATAAAATTAGAGCTTTATTAATGGATCATGGGATGTATGATGAGGGACATGCTTGAACATATCAAGGGGGAAACATAGATGGAACACATAAGGAAGGTTGTAACCTGGGAGGAACAGACCAATCCAGGCGTGGGAGGTTTCCACTGAAACTAACTGCATAAAAGCACTCTGGCTTTTGTACTCAGTGCTCTCCCCTCCTGAAGAGGGGTGGAGCCCAAAGCGTCTAAATCCTCTGGACTTTCTCTGTAATAAACTTTTCTTGATACTAAATTTTTGGTGTCAAGCATGTTTCTAACATTGATTGGGAAGGCAGGTGGATGGGACCAAGTACTCACCTTAGTGCTTTTTAAAATAAGTTTGTATTCAGATCCAGGGTCGCCCTTGGTTCCGTGTCTCTCCACTTGGCAAAAAAAAGTTGAAGCATTTGCTGCCTAAGGTGGTTTCTGTGTTTTGTCTTGGTTTTTTTTTGGGGGGGGTGGCACACTTCCTGTTTTGGTGATTGCTTTACTTTGGTTAAGATTTTGCAGATAATGGTGATTGTTCAAGTCAGTATTTTTGCCTTTTTTTCCATTTTCCATTTTTGGATGTCAGTGGCTTGTTTGAATAGGTCTTGTTGAAGCTATTTTGGTCATCTTTATTCCTGTTGACTTTGACCTTTACTGAAGCTAGTTGAGTCTAATTGCACAGACAGCTGATTGTGACATGACTCACATCCATAATTAACAGTTTCCTGTTCATTAAGATTGTGACTCTTTTGAAAAAGGGGTGCATGCAGGCATTTATACATTTATGATACCTATGACAGAAAAAGAGGGAGAAGGCATCTCATCTTTCATTTCTAAAACATGAAGCATATTTCCCAATATGCTTTTTACCATTCTCTTTTGTGTTCACTTTGGAGGAGATAACACTTACTTACCTCCAAGAGACAGACTTCAAGAGAAGGAAATTGAAACAAAGGGGACAAAATCAGAAGCTTGGAGATGAAAGAGGAAAGAAAGGATGAGCATGGGGGAGGAGAGCAGTACAGATTGGCTGGACTGCAGATTAATGAGAAGTAGCATGAGATAACGATTGTGGAGGGCTCCGAATGCCAGGATCAGGAGTATATCGGGAAGGCAATAGTAAGCCACCAAAGGTTTTTTTGTTTGTTTTTTTAAAGAAGAGGCATGATGTGGGCTTAGCAGTGTGTTATCACTGAAAGGCTTAAAGGTTGAAGTGGTACACTCACAATATTCAAGAAGAAAAATCCTAGCTACAGCCTAAGAAATAAAGAGCAGTGTTTTTGAAAGACAGGGTGCAGTAATGATGTGGCGATATGAACAGGATCTCTATAAGATACAGGGAGAAAAGAAATATGTAAACAGTGTTTAAAGGAAAGAGCAAGTTTTTTGACTTGATGTGTGGGAGAAATACAAAAAGTCAGAGGTGTTATTACAACTCCTGCTTAGGGATGGAATTCCCTAGAAAACTGTTGGAAATCAAAGCAGCCCAGCCATTACCATGCTAGACTGAGTGAGGAGGAAAGTTAAGTTTATATATTTGTGTCGTAGTCATATTTCCTCATCTGTAAAATGAGGGGGATTGCCTCTGAGGTCCCTTTTACTGCTACTTATATGATCTAGTGACTACGTGATCTTTTGTCTATGATGATTCTGTGACCTGGGTCAGATTCCCTGAGATATGTCCCTCTGTGTGAATCTGGACAAGTTACAGTTAACCCTCTGAGAGCCTTAGGCTCCTCCTCTGAAAGATAGGAATTGAACACAGTAGTATTCCCATAGCAAGCTGTTGGGATGAATTTAGAGCTCAAATGTAGTATCATAGATCTAGAGCTGAATTGCATGTCACGGTTAATGGTAACCTCCTCATTTTACAGATGAGGAAGTGAAGTCATGTGCGCAGAATTACCCAGGTAGTAAGTGTCAGAGCCAAGATTGGACACAGCTGTCTGGTTTCAGATCCAGCCCATGCTGTTAGCAATCAAGCCAAGGGAACATATATATATACCACTCATTGCAGCTGAAGGGAGAGGTGTGTTGGGAGTAAAAGGACAGAAAATGAGTTCCCAGTTACCAGGACAAAATATTGTGTACTGGATCAGATGCAATCCTGGATTTATTTAGAGTGGAAAGGGATCTTAGCTACTACAACTCCTTCATTTTACAGATAAGGAAAAGTCAAATGAGGTTTGTGCTTAATTGTTTCACCTTGTCACAGGGTGTGTTTGTGTGGGAGGCTTGCAATGACTCTTGTAAGATCAAAAGGCATCAATAAGATTTTTTTTTTTTTTCGAAAAAGAAGAGAAAATGGACCTCTAGCAATTAAAACAAGTACAGCACTAGTGTAAGGCTCCTCAAAGTGCATAGAAAGGCCTCTGGACAGGGAAATTGCATGATCATTTAAAAGCCACTCAGTTCTTTGGCTTTTAAGAAGTAAGTCATTATCCCTCCTGAATAGGGGCTCTTAGAGATGCCCCCCCCGCCCCCCACAGTCTCTATTGAGGTTTGAAATGTGCTAGAAACAGGTGCTGCGCTGGCCCCGCCCCTGCCGGCTACTGATTCCGCCCCCTGACTGACGTAGACCAATGGCTGCTGCTCACATTCTAGCCTTCTCTGGTGCCTGAAGCTAGGGTGAGATACTGCCCCCGCCCTTTTCTTTCTCGTCCTGGTCTCCTCCCCCCCCAGCCCGTGGCCGCTGCTGACGTCTTATCCCCGCCCTTGTTTGAAACTAGTGAGATGCTGCCCCCACCCCTCTTTTCTGCTGGTCCGCCCGTGACTGACTGCGGCTGACACCCCGTCCCCGAGTTAGTGCCTGAAGCTAGTGTGGTGCTGCCCCGCCCCTTCCTATCCTGGCCCCCGCCCCCTATTGACCTGGCTGCCGCTGATACCCTATCAGCTCTTGGTGCTTGAAAACAGTGGGAGATGCTACTCCCCCCCCCCCCCCGCCACTTCCTAATCCTGGCCCCTCCCCCTGCTGACCTGGCTGCTGCTGACACCCTATCACCTTTTGGTGCTTGAAACCAGTGGGAGGTGCTGCCTCCCTTCCCCCCCTTCCTCATCCTGGCCCCGCCCCTGCCTGCTGCTGGTCCCGCCCCTTGCTTGATCTTGCCTTCCCGGCCCTTTGTTTCTGAGCCGGGTTGTCCCCGCCTCCCCTTCCTGGGCCGCCCCTGCTACGTAATCAGTCACGCAAGCACACAAAGCACATCGAAACAGGAAGTGGGATCCAAAACAAACGAGCCGGGCTGTGTGGGCAGCGCTGCGGCCGGGCTCGGGATAGGGGAGGGGGAACCTTCCAGACGGGCTGCCCGACCCGCCCGCGTCGGGCGCCGCAGCCTTTGTCTGTCTCGGCCGTCCCGGACAGAAGCCTCTCTGCGCGGGGAGCCCCGGCCGCCCCGCTCCCCCCCCCCCCGGACCGCGGGACCATGTCGGCCATGGAGAAACACCTCTTCAACCTCAAATTTGCCGCCAAGGAGCTCGGCAGGAGCGCCAAGAAGTGCGAGAAGGAGGAGAAGGCCGAGAAGGCCAAGATCAAGAAGGCCATCCAGAAGGGCAACACGGAGGTGGCGCGCATCCACGCCGAGAACGCCATCCGCCAGAAGAACCAGGGCGTCAACTTCCTGAGGCTGAGTGCCCGCGTGGACGCCGTGGCGGCCCGGGTGCAGACGGCCGTGACCATGGGCAAAGTCACAAAGTCCCTGGCTGGAGTGGTCAAGTCCATGGACGCGGCGCTGAGGAGCATGAACCTGGAGAAGATCTCGGCGCTCATGGACAAGTTCGAGCACCAGTTCGAGACCCTGGACGTGCAGACGCAGCAGATGGAAGACACGATGAGCAGCACCACCACGCTGACCACGCCGCAGGGCCAGGTGGACCTGCTGCTGCAGGAGATGGCCGATGAGGTCGGCCTGGATCTCAACATGGAGCTGCCCCAGGGCCAGACGGGCTCCGTGGCTACGGTGGCCTCGGCCGAGCAGGACGAGCTGTCGCAGAGACTGGCCCGTCTGCGCGACCAAGTGTGACGGCGGCGGCGGCGGCTCGCCGCGGGACTGCGCTGGTTCTCCCTCCTCCCTTCTGTTGCACACAGACACACACACACACACACATATCCATACACACACGCATATCTATACACACACGTCCATCTTGCTCCTGCCGCACTGGAAACCTTGGGCATTGCCAGAGTGCTCGAGGGCTGTTGGTGTCGTGAGATCTGTCCCTTTTAAACGTGCGGGAAGAAGTGTTCACTCGGTGGGATTTTGTAGTCTGCGATGTCGTTTGATCTCTACAGACGCGGTTGAAGATTGGGGGTTACGCTTTTTGCAGGTGGCTTTTTAACAGGACTAGGGTTTAAATAGTGTTGAAAACGGGGCCAGAATGTCCAGCTGTGCATATTGGATTTAAAATCATCTGACCCTTTTAAAATACCGCCTAGGTCTTATCTTTGGAGAGCTGAGTTTTAATTCCCATTCCCATACCTTCTGTCTGCCATGCTCGGTCCAAATAGGGATTGAATGATAATGGGATCGGTTGGAATGTCTCTCTGATTTGGTTTTTTAGTACAAAAAAAAAAAAAAAATTCAGCTTAGAATGTTTCTGTGTTAATATCAAAGGTTATTATTGGCTTTTATTCTCTTTTCATTTGATTTAGTTTAATTAGCAAAAGCATTTTTACCTAATATTCTAACTACTGTTCTGGTGCTGTAAATTATTTGTCTTTACCTGAAAAAAGTACCATGTCACTTCATTTATGGGAGACGTTAAGTTGTGTTTTTGTTCATAAACTCACAGCTATATTTAACTTTCATTGTCTCCAATATGTTGAAACACTAAAATTTATAATGATTTCGTAGCTAACTAATTCTTTTTAGGCTGTATTTTAAAAATATGTTCATTTATGTGTAATTCTGTCAGGTTATTCTCAGATCATTTGACTGTTTTGGGAAAATCCTGGCCTGTGTGGCTATGTATAAGATACAAATATTAAGATAATGGAATGATACAAATTCCAAAATTAAAGCTATGTTTTAAATTCCTGGTTAAATGTTTTTATCCCTTTTGTCTTAAAGCAGCCACTCTTTAATAATTGGAAAAATGAAAAAAAAAACTTGAGTTTTTTTTTTTAGTGGAGCCATAGACAATTTAAATAACTTCTAGTCAGCTGAAAATGGAAAGTGTATTAGTTTTGTATTTTGAATATTGGCTTGGTTGAGGGAGAGTCATGTGAGATTGGAAGGCAGGATAGCTGTTGATGACAACAGCTCAAAAGGAAAGCAGTTTGGTGCCCAGGTGTACTTTACTTTGGCCAGTTTATCCTAATTGAAATGTGTAAGTTAAAATATAGCTGTGATTTTTCCAAGTTAATATGTAGTGGACAGCGATTTGGCAAAATATCAAAACAAATGTAGGGGTCTAGGTTAAAGAAGTATAATTTTTTTTCTCCTTGTTGGAAGATGTCTCCATAAAAGAATTCCAGTGTTTTTTCAAATAAGGAAATGCTGTTGCAGAGCAAATTGTTACAGGAAATCTTCCTGTTGTGAGTCATTGAAGGCATCCAAAGTGCAATTATGGAGTTACTTGTAACACAAGGTGTTTGCCATTTGTAGCAATTATTGTTATTAACTTCCTAACAATTGTTTATTGATAAGAAATGTAAATCGAGATTGTTTGAATCAGCTAAACGCTGTTAGAAATTAAAGTTTTGTTTGTTTGTGACTGATAGTGTCTTGGTACGGGCTCCTTGAGTGTATATTGTGGAAGTCTTATTTTCTTCCTGCTAAAATGGTCTGTTTCTAATTCAGACAGTCTAGGGCTACATAGAAGAGATTACTACAAACCAAAATTCCAAGGGAATATAGTTTTCTTATTTTTCATACCAAGTAATCATAATTAAAAAAGCTCTGTAAGGAGGAAGGAACAAAATTCACACTGTAGTGAATCACAAAATTAGTGGGGGAGGGGTTTGTTGTTTTTTTTTTTTTGTTTTTGGAGGGAAGGGAAGGAGGAAAAATATACAGACAGTTCCCTTAGGAGGGGAAGGGTTGCATTCTTCCCTAGTTGCAGTACTCTGGCTTGGTCACACCTGCAGTATTGCCTTCTATCCTGGACAATAGAGGGCAGAATTTGGAGTAACAGTAGAAGTAAGAGATTTAGGCTTGATAATATCCAAAAAAGGAATATACTGCTTCAGGAATTAATGGGTCCTCCATCTCCTGAGGTCTTCAAGCAGAGGCCATAGTTATTGGGTATGTTGGAAGGGGTTCTTGTTCAACCTCAAGTACTTCCAACTGTTAAATTATGTAACAGAGTTTGGTTAAGTAGGAATAATTGAATGTTGAAGAGACCTGGGAAAACTCAGATCAAACAGGGAAAGAGATTTTAAATGAAAAAGAGGAGAAAAATGTTCAGTGTTCTCTTTTAAAAGTATTACTGAAAGAATTAAATTATTTGTTGGGGAAGGAAAAATGTCTTTTTGGGGGGGGGAAGCTTTGGTAATCATATTAGGGATATTGCCAGCCTTGTGCTTTATTTTTTTAAATGAAAAATTTTTTTTCTTACTATCTGTGTGATCCTGGGCAAGTCACTTTTAACCCCATTGCCTAGCCAAAAAAAAAAATTTTTTTTCCCAGTTAACATTTTCTCTCATCTACCTCCCTCTCACTGAAGAGGAAAAAAAAGAAAATCCTTGTATTAATTATGCATAAGCAAGCAAAAAAAATTCCATATTGACCGTGTCTAAAAATGTGTGTCTCATCCTACATGTTTACCATTCTGTCAATGGGGAGCATTCTTCATCATTAGTCCTCTGGAATCAGTCAGTTCCTTGTGTTGATCTAAAGTCTTAAAATTATGTAACGCTTCATAACTTTGCATGTTATCTTTCCTCAAGGGCCATGCTTAGTGTCTGTTGTTACAATGTTAGTGTATGTACTGCTGAAGTGAGAACAATCCTTGTGCTTTAAAAAAGAACCATTGGGCTTCTCTTCCCTCAGGGGAGCCTAAAATTGAGAAGAGGAAAGGATATGATGCATACTTCTTGGAAGTGACTGTATTGGGTGATTGAACTACCTTTGAAGTCTCATGTTTTTATGTTTTACATTATTACCTTTGCCATGTATGTGCTGGTATTAAAAATCAGTAAACTTTTATTAAATGCCTTCTGTGTGCAAAGCACTATGCTAAGTGCTGTGCTAAGTACAGAAAGGTGTGTGCCTCCACCAAATGTTGTGAATTAGTTTCCTGAAAACACAGCTTTAGACGACAATTTTCCAGGGAGTTTGTTTCAATAGAAACTATACTATAAACGAGTAAGTTGGTCAAAAAGATGTCATAGCAATTGCCATTACATTAAGTGGGAATGTATCTGTAATATATTAATAGCATTATTGAAGATAGGTTTCAGGTGAATCCCTATATGTGCTATGTCCATATGAGTTGTTATAATAAGTAGAAATGGAGAATCCATTTTTCTTTGATTCCTCTTTAAGGCATCCATAATAGCAAGAGTATCCTTATTAAGTAAATGCAATTAAATCTTTAGAGGCAGAGCAATTCAATCATTTGACTTTTTTTCACTTTTAGCTAAATAAAAAACCGTGGCATCTTTCTGGTAAATTACCTTTCCCTGAAGATTTGGATCTCTCAATTATTGGGAAGGTGAAAGAAACTGAGCAAGATGAAGAATTTGGTGATTCCTTTGGTTAGTATGCAAATTTTTAAAAAGCTGATTTAAAACATAGTGTACTGTTAGATACTAGCCTAAAATGTAGAAACATCTTTAAATATAAAAATTCATTACCTATATCTAAAGATTGTGCTGTGAGAAGTGCTTGTTTATTTGAATTAATTTTCCTCATTTTTAAGTGAGTTGAAACTGGGTTTCTGGCATCAATAAGAACATTTTTACAATTGTAGAATTTTTGTTACTTACAAAACAGTTTTTTAAGTTTATTTTTGCAGCAATGTGCACTGCTATGTAGGGCAAAAAGGGTAGGATGGGTTAGCTGGTGAACAAAAAAACATTTCTTGCTCAAATGAGGGGGTGAGAATTACCTAGGATGAGCAGTACTGAACATAAATTAGTATTAGTTTTTGTTTTTTTTTCCAGTTAGTTACCAAGTATTTGTTAAGGGCTTCTCCATGCCAGGTACGATGCTAAGCACTGGGGATAAAAAGAAAGGCAGAAGATGGTCACTGTCTTTGGAGGATCTCAAAACCAAGGAACTCCCACTTGCAGTTCTGCTATATTCCCCTTGTTCCCAGGGATTCTTGGGATCCACTCAATGATGTTGTGTCTTGGTTTTCTTGTCAGTTAAGGCCTTTCTCATTCTACTTCCCTGACTGTCTCCAACCCCTCCCATCTAATGACCGTTAATCCCCAGCACATACCATGACTTCTTTACCCACAATTTTGTGATTTATCCAGTCTAGGAGCTTCCTTCCATTTGTAAGCCAAATCTGTGCCCTCTAAGGGCTAGAGACCTGGGCCCAGCGAGAATTTGCAAATACTATAGAAAAGAAACTTATCTGGCTATCGTCTAGTTCTTTTCCCAGAGAGTTTGGTGTTTATTTTAAAAGAAAAAGCAAATTATGGTTTTGCTACAAATACTGAGCTTTTACAACCATTATGATAAGACATCAGTATTCATTCTCCATCTTTGCTCTCCTCTGGACCAGCTGGGTATAGGTGTGGTGAGCCATGTTGGTGACTAGGAGAGTGAGCGTTTCTCCGGGAGTGCCTTTTCCTGGGTGGAGGATAGAACGTTGGCAGTAAACAAAAGACTAGGTTGAGTCAGGAGCCACAGTTTCTTGGGAATGCCAAATACAGTGGAGTTGAGAGAAGAGTAGGAAGCTAGGATCTATTCTAAAGAAGTGTTCCAGGATAGAGACATCGGAAGGCCCATGCCTATAGCTGCATCTTGATTTTCATTGGTTGGTCACATGCAGTCCTTTTAGTAGGCAATTAGTGTTTCTCACCCTGCCATACACTGTTATGTGGGCCTCTGAGATCTCCAGAATATGGCAACACCCTGATTAATGCTACTGGTGCAGTGAATCTATGGAATGAATTTTGATAAGACAAGGGATAAGAACTTGAGAGAAATTAATATTATACTAATAACTGATTACTAATTTGTGACCTATCCTTTTCTTCCTATTTCTGTTAAGACTTAACTCCTGAAAAGTTGGGCAGTTCTAGAAGGATGTAATAATAGCTAATCTTCTAGCCCACAAGGCACCGAATAGGTTGGGTGGAGACCCACCCAACTGGGAAACTTAATTTCTGTTTAGAGTTTAAACAGAAACCAGTCTGGGCAAGTCCTTACCCAGGAAGGAGGAACCCCTATGCTTCATGCCCTCCATTAGAGTTTAGGGCAACCCATCTCTTGAAGGAGAAAACTAGCCAGAGAGGTCTGGATGGAAATGGCTTCCCCTCTTGATCAAGCCACATTGTCTGCGGGAGACTAATGATCAATCCCACCTCCTTCATTAGATGTCCACCAATCAGGGTTGAGTTTCACTTGTCAGGGGAGTTCCCTCTCAGAAGGTATACATCTGATTTAAGGTGTTTGAGAATCTTGCTTGGTGTCTGCTTCCTGAAAGAAACCACTGACTGTCAATTTATTGATTATTAGCTAACTTAGTTTAATAAGTTGATTAATTACCTGGAAACTGTCTCTCAGAGGTATTATTTGTCGAAGACTGGACCTGTGATTTCATTGATACGTGGTTGATAACGACCTTAATAACTGACTTCTCCTGTGCTAGAGCCCCTACTGTCACTGAATCCATTCAAGGACTCCCATAAGACAGGCCTGCACAATATAACAGCCATCTGGCTGCTAGTGGCCTGTGACCCTCAAGAAATGTAGGGTTGACATTATGCATGCTCCTGTTTGTCATGTGACCTGCAGCAACCAACTGTGTCATTCTGTCTGTAGTCTAACTTATCTGCTGCCCGAAGTTGTGCAGGTCTGCTATAAGGACTCATTTCCATGGATTTCCTATGTCATCTCGAACAAGAACCCTGATTTACATCACCTTTGTGGACTCCCCCATTTGCCACACTGCAAGTCAAGATCACTTGTCTATTTCCTATCAACCCTAATCTAACCCTGTATCGGTCACTCCCTAATGCAGTACTGCAGTGGTGACATCTCATACCATCCATGTAATTTGAATATGCTATTTCCTAGTGTTGAATTTTGCTAAGGTAATTTCTACCAATTCAATTTTTGAAAACTATATATTTCACCCCTGGCCTTTCCTGGCCCCTGTCACCATTGCTAATGTTTTGGGAGGACTTAACTATGTGGAAACTAACCTGAAGCTAACCCTAGAGGCTACGAAACTCCCTAAGTACAGGGGCTGAGTGGTGCTACAGCCCAGGAAAGCTTTTGTAGGGATGGAACTAAGCCTGACTTTGTCTATCCAGACCCCCAAGAACTCACCATAAGGTGCTGTTGGCCCTTTGCTTTCGGCTGTCTTTCCAGTTTCACTGGGCATTCTCCCCCTTCCCACGCTGTGATTCAGCCAAATGGGCCTTCTCGATCCTGGTGGATGATGTTTGTGGGTCTCTGTGTTTTTACACTGGCTCTCTCCCATATCTGGAATGCATTCTTGCCTTACTTGCACTTTGTAAAGGCCTCATCCTTTAAAAGGTGTTATCTCAGGCATCATCTTTTTTTTTTTCAATCAAACAAAACTTTACTACAGAGGCTTGAGAAGTAAATAAATTAGAGGTGAGGGGGGCCTCCTCTCCCAAAAGGGTATGGACAACTTCTTCTTACTTCTATGAGAAATCTAATACAATGAAAGTATGCATTGGATCAAACAAGAAACAGAAAGCTGTGCATCATCAGTATAATGAATGGCAGGAAAATGAGGTCAGAAGAGGCAGAAACTCTAGCTTTTCTTCAAAACTAGAAAGCGATAGGGCCAGATAAGTTACATAATCATTGACTCAAACACTTCATGGTGGCACATGGATTAAGAGCAAAACACTCTTAGCTTCCTCTCAGGCATAAGCCAAATCGCATCTTTCTCAAGAGAAGGCATGGCATTGCTACTAACAAAAGATAGGAACAACACTCAGAATACAGGGCATGTTCTTTCAGCAAAGCATTCACCCCTTGTCTCATGTGGAAAAAAAAATCTATAAACACAAGGAAACAATATCTGAGGATCAAAACGGACGTATTATAAGAGAAATGATTATTACTAACCAGTGATTTGGGGAGATTCAGAGCTCCCCTCTTCTTTAAAAAGTCCTGATTTCAACAGTTCACTTTCTGGTAGGGCATTACTGATAATGAGATTGGATTAACTTTTGTAACAAACTTGTTCAGACTTTGCCCAAGTGGGGAAGCCATTATGCTGTACTCAGGTATGGGTGGTGGTAAATTCTTTAACTAGATTGCCCAAGACTGGGGGTGGTCTTGGTGTGGGGATAGTCTCTCTTTGACTTGATAATACTCTCAATCCCTCATTATAATCATTCATTCATTGTTAACCCATTGGAGTTGATTACCACCCTCAGGAACACCCCTCTTCCAAAAGGCATAGGAGCTGTGAGCCTGTCTGCCCCATTGCCTTTGGCCTTCAGGAGTGCTACTGGTCCTTTTGTTAACATTCTGGAGTTATTAATAAAATGATTAAATTACCCAGAAGTTGTCTTTCAAACTTTTTAACCATCACAGTTAAGAGGTCTCAGGAGTACAAAGAGCTATTTGTTAACCATTTGGTAATTATGTCACAAAAAGCACTGTGACAAAGGGTCAGGCATCATCTTCTTCATGAAGTCTTTCCTCACTCCTGCTCCCCTTTGGTTGTTCCCCTTCCCTGCTATGAGTTAGTATCTTCCCTCCCACTACCTTGTATTTAAATAATTTGTATGTTGGTATTTATTAACTTTTTATTTCTGCTGTGTAACATTTTTATATGTACTTATCTCCTCTATTAGAATGTAAAGCTCATTGTGAGTAGGGATTGTTTAAGTAGTTGGACTTGAATCCCCAGGCAGTGCCTGGCACATAGTAGGTACTTGATAAATACTAGTTAATTGATTGCTTATCACAAAGGTAGTTCAGTAAACTTCTCTTTTCTCTGTCTCTACAAGTTTATCATGTTTTTCATTTTTCATTTCTGTGCAAAGTACACCTTTACCCACAAGCCTCCCTGATACTCTGTGCTCAAGGAAGGGAAGCCCAGTACTTGTAATTCTTACTTCCTGGTGACACCCAGAACACCTCCGGTATCTAGTCAGTTGGTAAGAATATGGTCTGGAAGACCACAGAGGAAAGCAACTCCAGCTTCCCCCATGCAGTGCTGCTGCTCAGGGTGTCCTGCCAGCTGCACCCCTGGAAATCCTAGCCCCATGTCCTAGGGGGTAAAGGTGCCCAGCAAGAAGAAAGGCAGTGCGGGGCACACAGCACGAAGCTGGGCTTCTGGCCAGTGGACACATGTCAGCACAGGGAGCAGATCAGACGAGCCCAGTGGCTCTGGTCTGGCTCCTGGGACTCATCCTCTTCTAGTTGGCTCTTCAGTTCAGTTTCTTTGGAATTGCCCAAGAGCCTCCTTGAGAGGAACTGCGTGATAGCATGGAAAGGTGGAAGGAGGCCTGGATCTGGACACACAGGACGTCCCTTTGAGTCCCAGTTCAATCACTATATGACTTTGGACGTGTTGCCTAACCCCCGAGCCTCAGTTTCCTCCTCTCAGAATTGAGGGGACTAGACTAGAATTCAGCGACCCCTCCACCCGCAATGTAAGAAACGCCAAATGGGTCGAAGGGTGGAAAAAGTTTAAGAAGCCCTGGACTAGATGACCTCCCTGCGCCCTGCCAGGTGATCCTATGAATTTCCTAGAACCTGTCTGGCCATCCTTGGGTCAGCAAGGTTTTAACCGTACCAACATAGTTCCCTCAGTATTTATTTCAAGTAAAATGCAGGAGACCTACCATAGGGTACTGTAGGACAACAATAGTAATAGTTAATAATTATATAGCCCTTGAAGGTTTGCAAAAAACTTTGTAAATATCTCACTTGGTTAAGATTTGTTCCATACTATCATCAATCTATGTAATTAAAAAACATTTAAACATTTTAGGTTTTTTTCCAATTAAAAGCATATATTTTCTCTCCCACACCCATTGATTAAAGAAAATCCAAAACAAAACTTTCCTTGTGATAAACATAGTCAAGCAAAACATTCCTACATCGGCCATATCCAAAATTAAATATCTTATTTTGCATCTTTCCTGTCAGGAGGTAAGTAGCATAGTTCATCACTGGTCCTCTAGAATCATGGTTGGTTATTGCATTGACCAGAGTTCCCAAGTCTTTCAAAGTTGTGTGTCTTTACAAGTCTTTAAAATATTACTGTAGAAATGGTTCTCGTGACTCTGCTTAGTCTGTATCAGTGCAAATGAGGCTTCTCGGATTTCTCTGAAGACGTGTATCCTTTTGGTCATTTCTTATGGCAATGATACTTCATTAGTCATGTATAATAATTTGTTCAGCTATTCCCTAATTAATGGGCACCCCTCCCCCGCAGTTTTTAGTTCTTTGCCGCTGTAAAAAGAATTGCTATAGGCCAGTTTACATAATGTAATGAATTTTCTTTACTTTGTATACTTTGTGGATGGCCTTTTTCTTATCTCTTGATAGCAGTAGAGGGTGTGGGAACTTGCCTAGTTGAAGAAAAAGTGAATCCTAGCACCGTTAAAACTGCCTAGTTGCTATTCTTTCATTAAACATTTATCTATTTTCCAGGAGTTTCCATTAGCTTTGAAAGAATTCACATCAAAGTCCACATGTGGACAAAGTAGTTTGACTTCTTTGCCATTAAAAAAAGAAAAAGATGGATAGAAGCTTCCCTCTGAAGTGAGACTCTTGTTTTGACCCCGTGGTTTTTGGGAGCACATGTTAAGTTACAGCTCAAATGCCGTTTCAGCATTGTCTTTCTTATTTTTTATATAGCTGCCCCTTTACATAGTACTGCCTTGTATTCAGAAGCAGAGGAAACCTGCAGACCTGCTGAGTCCCTGATTCCTTCATTTGTTTCCCCTTCACCCGGAAAAAAGGCTAGAATGAGGTACGTTGAGGGCAGCTGCCTATGTGTGTCTAATGGGATTGCTGAAGAACTCATTACAGTAATTGCTTATCAAAACCTATAGAGGGCAGCATCAGACAACGGGCCTTAGAGTCAGTCCCATCTCTCTGCATACTAGCTGTGTCACACTGGACTGGTCACTTCCTTAGCCCCTCAGGGGCCTAGTCAGCTCTAAGATGCATCACTGCAAAGCAGCCCATTGGCATTGGTGGAGGGAGTTTTCCTCTTGGTACATCCCTAAACCGATAGGTCTAAGACAGACTAAAGCAGGAACTTGCTTCTTAAAGTTATTAATTAGCAGAACTTTCAAACTCCTTTAACGTAATTCAGAACCTGATTTTTTTTTCTCCCATCAGAAAAATTGTGGATTGAAAATTTAATTCATTGCTAGTCTAATCAGAGTATTCCAGAAACGTGGAAGTAGAGGAATTTAGTTTTAAGTTTAAATCTGAGGTTTAATCTGTATGACTTCATTTGAAATGATGCTGAATTTCCTTTTAGCCTTTTTTTGATATTAACTATTTTTGTGGCATAGTAGGTTGAGAGGTAGCCTTAGAATCAGAAAAACCTGGGTTCAAGTCCCACCTTTGATACCTCCTGGTTGTGTGACCTTAGGCAAGTGGTCACTTCTCAGTGCCCCAGGCTACTCTCTAAAAGGGTTATTTTTCAGAGAAGATGCTGATCTGATAAGGATAATCTGCTGGAACTTCCTCATTGGTTATTCCACATATCCATGAAATCACAGATCCTGTACACAAACCACCACCAGAACTTGTCCTAAGAAGTGTTAAAAATAACAAAAAAACAATTTTAGGATTCTTGGCATCCTGTCTGCCTCGTTGCCAGAAATGTTGGTGATGGAGACCGTGTAGTAGTAAGGGCTGTTCTGTGTCTTAACACGTTTCCTGGGTCCTCAGAGCCAAAGATGTCATTATGTAGTCCTCAGCCTTCTGTTGTTGGCCTTCCCTGTACTTCCTGATATAGTCCATCCCTTGGACCATGGTTGAAGACATTCTAGCTTATTAGAACCTCCTAGACCTTGCTGCCCTGGCATTGACTCTGAGAAACCTGGTCACCTTTTTGGTGTGACCATCGAAGGATGAGTTTTAAAGACCATGCTTTGGTCCGTTTTTCCCTCAGTGCATCTTCTTCAGTTCTTGAAGTCTTTCCAGTGTGGTCAGACCTGCTGGAGCTGGGGCTTCAGTGGCAACAGCCTACTTCTGGACAGGGCTCAAGGTATTGTCACAGGATGTTAGAAAGGTTGACTGACTTGGGTGTTTCAGAATTCGACTAAGCATTGATCAGTTGAAATGCTTGCTGATTAGCTAAAGATGGACATGTAATCAGCATTTCTGTTGCTTGAGGTTCTGGAGAAGAATTGTTCTGTAGTATTCTATGGAAATCTTGCTGATAATATTAAGGCAAAAGTCTGCATAGTCCCTACCCCATGAGAATTCATGGAATTCAAAATAATGATTTTTTTTTTCATTTCAAGGCAAGGGCCATGGGGACTTGCCTTTTAGAAAGAAAATTTATCTAGTTCTAACAACATCTGGCATATGATCATAGATTTAGAACTGAACAGGATCTAATTCAACCTCTTCGTTGTGTAATTAAATAAATTGAGGCCCACAGAGGGAGGAGTAGCTTATCTACTCATCTGTAGATGAGTGTAGAACTGGGATGAGAAGCTAGTGCTTCTGACTCCCAAACCCTTTTCTCCTCTGGTTGGATTAACCATTAATTTTTTTGAATTCTTTTTGTTTTTTGAAAAGAGGCACAGCATATTCCTTTTCTATTGAAGTAGGAGAACTCCTTTGGTAGATGAGACAAGTGCTTCCATGTTAATGCTGAAGAGGTTTGACCCCATGCCCAGTAAGGGACTGTGTGTGTGTGCGAGTCTCCAGTGTTCAGAGGAGTGCATCACTAGGTTAGCCAACAAGGGATGATGTTTGTGAACCACAGCAACTCATGAAGATCACCTAAGAAGGCAATTCAGCAGGGTCCCAATCTGCATTGGTGGAGGGAGTGCCCATGTCATGGATGGAAAAGATTTCATCCTTAATTACTGACATCTTCCCCTAATTAGTCTGACTTAAGGAAGTAGTATTACAAGATTTACATACAAGGTCTTGGTGTCTTAACGACATGTAGAGGAACTACATGGATAAAAGTTGTTTTGCTTAAAATTTGCATTTCTTCTTGTTTGGTGCAGCGTGGAAGTGAGTGAAAGTCAACCTGAGGAAGAGGAGGGTTCTATAATAGGGAGAACAAAAAAGGTAAGTAAGGATGTCTGCCAGCCTTGCATTTCAGATTCTGTTTAGATGGTGGCTGTAGATAAAGACTTGGTTTGATAGCTGCAGCTTTGTTGTGAAAAGGAATTTCCACTTGAGACATAAAAGAGCATTTTTTTGGAAAAGGGAATATTTGGCTGCTACACATTGGAATGCAGTTTTTATTTAACAATAATCTTGTATTTAGATAGCATTTGATTAACAAGATGCTTTACAGCTACTGCCTCATTTGATTCTCTTAGCTTAGTCTGTACAGATGTTATTATTTCCATTTGGCTGAAGAGGAAATTGAGTCAGAAGCTAGTTGACTTTCCCAAGGTGATGCAGCTAGAAAGTAGCAGAGTCAGGACCTGCCAAACACCCTCATAAGTGACTAAAAAATAAGTTCTGAAAACTGGGTCAGGGCCTATGAAGTCACATTGAACTGCTGGTAACTGCACAGCTCACGTGTGACCATTGGTGTACATCGCCAGCTTCTCAGAAAGTTGAGTTTTTAGTCGTGTTAAATGATGTTCATACGCAGTGCTGCTGTTGATTTTTATGTAGGCATCAAGGAAATCCAAGCCAATAGCTGATGATTCTGATTCAGAAAGCATTTCAGTCAGAATAACACGTGTGGTAAAGGGGATGAGAAAGGAGAAAGTTAAAGCTTCCTCGACTGTATCTTCTGCAAACCTTCCAGAGAAATCTGCAGAATCAGTGTTTTCTAATGAACCCTTCCATGTCGCTGAGAAAGTATCACTTGTCACCAAGAGTGAAGCGGTAAGAGATTGTTCAGTCTTTGGCCATTACTCCTCTCTGTGTTGTCTCCCTTTATTCAAGTGTAAGTTATGGAAAAGATGGCTTATTGGAAGGGAGGGAGCTGATCCACCTGCCATGCTGCCACTCCAGCAAAAACTGGAAATGTGCATCAGGCTAGATAGTTATCAAGAAAACCAATGAGAAACTTTTTCCACCCCGGAACTGTAGAAAAAGCCAGTGTTTCTACAGGTAGTAAAAACGAGGATCTATCAGAAAAGACAGTGATAGTGAAGTCAAATAAAACAAGAGTTTCTCCAGCAAGATCAGACATGCCCGTAGCCAGCAAGGCTCTGTATCCAGAGGCAGGAACAGCAGACCACTACTAGAAATCCTAGAATAGTGGAAAACCCAAAGTGTGAGCCTTGGAATCAATCAGCTGGGACCAGAAGTGGCCTTCTGGGTGTGGCAGTCTTAGACTGGGACTTTGAAGGCCCAGGGGCTCTGAGATCTGTAGTACTCTGTCCCAAAGTGCCACAGAGGGCTTAAAACCTATTAGTATTCTTAATATAGACCCACCCCAAGAAGTAGGAGGTCAGGGTGGCACCTTGGTGACCCTGGTTGAGACCAAGCAGGACCAACCACCCCAACCAAAAGAGCAGCAAGTGAAGCCTGGCCCTGGCACACAATTCCGATGTAGGAGCTAAAGCTGGAGACATGAGTGACCAGAAGACACTGACCACTACAGAGAATTACTGCAGATCCAGAAATACCTAAAAACTTAACTTAGAAGAACAGAGTAATTTTACAACTGCAGGAAGAGACTCAAAGGAAGAAAATGGATATTCCATAAGAACTGCATGAACACATGGAAGAAATGAAGCAAGAGAGTACTAAATGAATAAAAGCTCTGGAGGAAAGAATCTGAGAATAAACAGTTTAGAATAGAAAGTGGTAAGACTTACCCGAGGAGTGGGCTAAATAGACCATACAGAACTCAGTGACTATGTCAGACCATAAGATATATTAGAACACAATCAAAAAATTAAGAAATAAAAGAGAATGTAAGGTGCATGCTGTCAAAAGCAGCCGACATAGAAAACAGATTGAGATGATCGTTGGATTCACTGAAAATCATAAAAAACCCAAAACCCTGGATGTTATATTTTAAGAAATTTAATTGAAAACTGGTCAGGTTTATTAATATCAGAGGGTAAAGTGAGAGTAAGAAGAATCAAGAAATGTGTTCCTGAGCATCACACACAAAAGATAAATCAGTTAAACGTCACTTATCACAGTTTCAAAATATAATTTAGTTTTTACCAGTCCTCGTCTCACACTGGAATAAGTGTAGGAGAATGTCTAATGTTCTCTCTACTTACTGCGTTGCCTTTTTTTAACTTCTCAGTATGTTTTTTGTTGATTGCATCTGTTTCTTAAGTTGCATTCTTTATAGAAGGCTCCTCGGAAGAGACGGACCTCTCGTGAAAAGAGGGAGAAACCTCGGAGTCAGCCATTCAACTCAGGTAACAAATAAAGACTATTGTGATTTTATTATTGTTATTTGGGAATTCCATTCTGGGAAATAAATTTAAATATTTTATTTATGGATAAGGCCTGGACCTCTGGTTTCATTGGCGTAGGAAGCTTCCAGGGGATGAAATCTCCCTCTGTCCCTTGTGCTGATAATGGTAAGACTGGGACGCTTTCCAAGGAACTACTTTTCCTTTTCCTGAAGGGAGAAGATGACCAGGAGTGATAGTGCTGAGCTGATACTCTGTGGTTCTGTCCCACCTCCCCATCCTTAGTAGTGACTTTTGTGATGAAGCCTGGATTTGGAGCCAAAGGATCTGGGTCCAAATCCTGTATTGCCATTTACTCTCTGGGCAAATCATTTAATCTCTGTGAGTCTTAGCCTCCTCATCTGTAAAATGAGGGCATTGGACAGCATGAACTCTGTGCTTCTGCCAAAGTTCCTGAGCAGGTCTGTAAACTCCTTTCCCCTCTGTTCCCCTTTCCTCACCAAGTGTGTTATCTTAGGGGAGAATTCTTAAAAGGATACTCATTTTAAACCTTGTTTCGGTCAAAAGACGATATTAGAGAGCCTCACCTTTCTCATTTGTAAAATGGGTTTAATAATACTTGTACTCCCTATCTCAGAAAGTTTCTATAAAGAAAATTTTTTGTAAACCTCAAAACACTATATGAGTGGTCACATATTGAAAATAAATTAAAAACAATTAGATTAAATTAAGTTTTTTTTCATATCGTATGTGAAAGACTTGCCCTGTTTTCATACTGTTCATTCTTTGGCTGTTTATTTTAAATGAAAATATATTAGCCATTAATTATGAACTCCCATCAATGGTGAGTTAATAAGTTTAAAAAAAAATTGGACAGTTTGGGCACTGTTCTTAGATTTAAATTAGCTGCATCTGAGAATATCCTTCCTGCTGTCTAGGAAAATTGCACACAACATGCTCAGCTCCCTCTGATTTTAGCCATGAAAATCCAATGGGAAAAAAGCAGAGTCTTTTTACATGACAACAAAACCAGAAGAAAGGCCGGTCTGTGAGCACGTTGTCAGGGTCACAATTCTGAGAAGCAGAGCTGGGCTTTGTAGCCCGGAGTGGAGGGAGGCGTGGTATCACTGGACTTAGCCACTGCCTCAGCTTGTCCCAGGGAGCTGCCAGTGCTACTGCTGCTAACCATTGGTTTATCTGGCTTCACCTCAAGTCCAAGGCTTTTAGGTCATTGTCAACAAGAGAGGGCACCTAGAATCTGGCTCTGGCTCTGACCTCAGTTTGACTAAAGCTCCCCTAGGCCAAAGTCTGCTTATCTGTAAGACAAAGGGCATGGACTACATCATTTCCTTTAAAAAATAGTTTTGGGATTGCCTTTTATTTTTAAAGTAGAGTAATTGACCCTTAACTATATTCTCCCTGCTCCAACTGAGCCCTTCCATACAACGACAAAACCAAACCAAAGCCAACTAATGGACCAGCTGCACACACCACATGGCGCGTGGGTCCCCACCTGTCTATGAGAGGACAAGGGGAAGTTTCCCTGTCTGTTTTCCAGGACTGAGTGTGCTGTTTTACATTATTGTGGTCACTGTGTATGTCACAGTCCCCTTAGTCCTGCTTTTTTTACTCACTTTTATTTCACATAAGCCCTTCCACACTTCTCTGAATTCAAACTTTCAACATAAGATAAAAGAGTAATACAAAGCTGTGTCCAGCTGATAGCAGTGCTGTGAGAGTTCTCAGAAAGAAGGTGGGATGGGACAGTGGATTTTTCCCCTTTATTATTGACACGAAATGATTTCCAAATATCCTAGAGGAGACTCGGCACATATGCTTGGAGTTTGTGGCAGACTGTTTTGGCTCTGCTCTTTGAAATTCTCATTTGCTTTCCAGCATTTTGCTTCTAGATTTTCCCACATTTAGAACCGAGCCTCCTTAAGACTCAGCTGCAGTCTTCTGTGTGAAGCCTTTCCCAGTTCCCCAGTTGTTAGTACCTTTCCCCTAGAATTGCTTTGTATCTGCTTTGTGTGCATCCTGTTTATATGTACATGTGTAAGCAGGGCCTTTTCATTTTTGGTTTATATTCCCAACACAGCCCAGTGCTTGACACAGAAGAAATGCTTACTTAAATAAATCCTTGTTGATTGATTAATTGGTTTCTTGGAGACAGGGACAGGAGCAGTGATGAAGGGAACTTTTAATAAAGAAAATCCTTTCAGCCAATGACAGTTGATCCCTCTGAAGTTTGTAGTGTTTGAGAGCTGCCTGAAGAGATTAGGTGGCTTGCCCTCATCCCATAGCCAGGATGCGTCCGAGGTAGGACTTGAATCCAGATCCTCCTGGGTTTCAAGGCCTGCTCTCTATCCACTGTGGTTGGTTCTTTGCTGCACAGTAATAATCTTCCATTCCATTCCTATACCAGTTTGCTCTGCCATTGTCCATTCAGTGGGCATTCATTTTTGTTTGTGGTTTTTTAGTTATGACAGAGCGTTGCTATAAATGTGTTATTATATATATGTCAGGATTGCTCAGAAGCCTCTATCTCAACTTCCACTTGTCCTGACAGGTAAGATCCCCAGTGAACCAGCTAGAGTCAGATAGCAGAGTCTGGCAAAAGACAAGAGAGTATTCCAGCTAAACCCTGTAGTAGCAGGGCTAATAATATAGCTCACAGTTCTATGACTGGCATGCTTTCTGCCATGACTATCAGTTAGTCATATTTAATTAGCTTTTAGAACAGAGTATTTCCTGAGATGGTGTACCTGGTATAGTTCATACAAAACATCCCCTTGAAGTCTATGATGTACTTTTCCACAAATACACAGAGTCCAGGGGAAGGTGGGCTCATGCATAGAGGGCACCTATGGCCAAGGGGTAACTCACAGCTCCTGGAACTACTTTTGCTGGGTTTCTCAAAATATTCCCCTAAGGTATTTCTATAAGGTGTATATAGTTTCTCTGCAGGGTCCTTGTAGACCCTTGAATCTTCATCATGACCAGTCTCTGAGCTGCTGGTGAAGACACTGCCAGAAGCTCCTCCTGTCCTAGGGATGCAGCTAGAACACCAGTGGAAAGTGCAATTTCACTGGCCCTCCCGGATTGATGAGATCCTTCTCCAACATTGGGGGCGGGGTGGAGGAGAATTCTCGAAGGGGAGACTGGGACTGAGAGAGGTTTGGGGCTCTGTGACTCCCTATCTCCCAATCTATACTTTCTCAGGGGTTTAGCTAGAATACTCTTTGCTCTCTTCTGCCAGACTCTACTGTCTGATTCTAGCTGGTTCATTGGTTTTATATAGATCCCAGAAGGTATGACCAAGTAACTCAGCCAATTTGAGGTGAATGCCTGTCTTGTAGTGCCCAGGCCTTGTTCACACCTAGTGAACAATCCAGTTGTGTTCTCACCTGATAAATGTATCAGGGCAGAATCTTCTGGGTTACTTTAAATAAGAAAATACGGGCAGCTAGGTGACTCAGTGGATAGAGCTCCAGCCTTGGAGTCAGGAGGACCTGAGTTCAAATGTGGCCTCAGACACATGACACTTATTAGCTGTGTCACCCAGGGCAAGTCACTTAACCCTAATTGCCTCACCAAAAAAAAAAAAAGATATAAGTAGGACCTTTTTGCTGTTGCCTTCCTTGGGGGATATGCAGATAACATCTTTGGGTCAAGGGGTACAATTTAGTAAATTTTCTCACCTAATTATAAATTGATTGCCAGAATGATTGGACCAATTCACAAGACCACTAACAGTATGGTAGTATACCTTTAGCCCCTTCAACATTGACCATTTCCATTTTTTAATCATCTTTAAATGGGTATGAGGTAAAACCTCAGAATTGGTTTTATTTGCATTTCTTTTATCAAGTGCTTTGGATCAAACTTGCTTGTGGTTGAACATTTGATTTTTTTTTTTCCTGAAAACCATATCTGGTGACCACTTAAGTATTAGGAAATGGCATATTTGTGACAATTCCTTATGTATCATAAACATCAGTTTATCAGAGATATTATATTCGAATTTTTTTTTCTTACATGACTTCCTCCTAGTCAAGCTGTTTCGATTTTGTGCAAAACCTTTTTATTTTTATGTAATTGAAGTAGTCTACACTATCTTTTATAATATTATCTATTGCTTCGTTGGTTAGGGATGCTTCTCCTTTGCTGTAGTTACAAAAAGTGACTGGGTTTTTTTGTTTTTTAAACAATGTGATCTTTTCTATTTAGGATTTGTATCATGTGGAGCTTTTTGTGCTAAGTGTAAGGTGCTAGTTTAAACTTTATTTCTGCCAAATTGCCTTTCAATTTTCCTGGCAGTTTTTATTCATTAGAGGAGCCTTTCCCCAGTGGTTTGCATTCTTGAACTTTTTGAAAATGGGAATCTTCTCTGCTTATATTCTTTCTAGATCCTAGTTCTTGTGGGCAAGGATTGTTTCACTTTTGGTTTTATAGCCCTAGGGCTTGACAACAATGCCTTACACATAGTAAGTGCTTAATAAATGTTTGTTGATTGATTCTCGAATTAACCTAGGGTTTAAAATATGGAATGAATTACAAAGGGGAGCTTTATGGGTATCCCATTCTTGGCCCAGTATTATCAGAATTTTAAGAATATTAATATGCAAAAAAAAAATATCAAACTAGAAGAAAGACTAAGGCTGAGAAGATGGTATGGTGTTCAGTAAAGCAAGAGCAAGGTAGCAAGTGTTTAGGACGAAGGACACATGGTTCTGGGGAGCCACAATTTAGATGAATATATATGTGGCTAATGGGATTTAGAGCTAGAAAGGACCTTATCTGTCATCTAGTCCAAGGGAGACTAACTTGCCCAGAATCACACAGGTCATCAGGAGCACAACTGGCATTCAACAACTTGGAAGAGTACTGTCATCCTTTTTTATATCTTAGTGATTTCTCTGACTCTGTATATTTGGTTTCCAGAGAAGAAGAAAAGGTCTGCCAGAGATACAGCAAAGTCGCGTATTGTTTTATCTGCATTTGAGGATGTTCTGTTAGAGTACAAGTAAGTCGGACTTTTTTCCTTCTGCACAGTAACAGTGATACTGTCTTCTTTGTCTTCAATAAGAAGTTATAATAATAGGAAGAATAAGTTGTGCTTCTAAGTATGTGATAGTGGAAGATATAGGAGGAGATAGCATCACCAAGGAAGAGTGTGTAGAGAGAAGAAAAGGACTGGGGACAGAAGCTTACTTAGTAAACACTCACCTTATGGGCTGGAGAAGAGTATGAAGAATTATCAAAGGTGATGAAGAAAAGGGAGTGCTTAGAGAGATATGAGACCAGGTTATCTCTGAAGTCAAGAGAAGAGAGCCTCTTCATAACAAGGGTTGGTTAACAGTGTCAAATGGTGCAGAAGTCAAGGAAGAGTTGAGTACGTCAAATCCAAGAGGGCCTTTGAAAGAGCAATTTCAGTAGTCACCGTGGTGGGGTGGAGAGGACCAGAATAACCATTGAGGTCCCTTCCCACTGATTCTCTGAAGGAAACAAGATTATAGTATAGGAAGTTTGAGGAGAGACCCTGGTGAAGTAGTTAGGACTTTTTCAAGAAGCTTTGCTGTGATGGGAGAGGAGACAAAGGGCAGTAATTTGGATTGTATAGAAAGATAATGGGAGACTTAACAATGAAACCTTGAATAATCAGTGGGTCAACGAACAAATCATAGAAACGATTATTAATTCTGTGAAAGAAAAATGGTAATGATGAAGCAACGTCAGAATTTCTAGGATGTAGCTAAAGTACTTCTTGGAGGACACGTACGTACATACATACATACATACATACATACATACATACATA